AATCTCGCCAGGATATGGCAATATATAGACAAGTACCTGATTCACATTATGGTAGAGCCCGTGCTCAAAAAATCTCTCCACAACCACCACCACCACCACCACCACCACCACCACCACAACTACAACCAAAACAATCCTTAACAAAAGTATCAAATGCTCCAGCTAAAAAAGTGACAGATACTTTAGAAGGAATCAATAATGATCCTCCTCTTAGAGAAGAAGGGAAACCTCCTATTGTATTGAGAATATGCAAAGGTACAGCACGACTAGTCTATGGGAATGTGCAGAACACTCAACAGCCAGAACCTGAAACATATAGAATTTCTACACCCCTCATCAGTCCCACAAAAGTAGATATGGAACGTAAAAACTTTAATGTGGATGTGAATGTTAAATCTGATCATAAAGCAGTTCGTTCTCAAGAACCCATTATCTCGACTGTATCAATACCTCTAGAAAATTCAGAAATGCGCAGAACTACCCGTAGTCGAGCAAAAAATCTGCAGTTAGATTTAACAACAACATCTTCTATTGTGTCTACAGCACCAGTAACATCCAATTCACATAGTTCTGGTCTTTCTTTAACCCTTAGGAAATCTGTTACTGATTCCAACAATACATTAATATCTCATTATGATATTGTTAAGACTGACTGTGGTTCTACATACTCTTGTAAGCCAGCAATTGAACCATTAATTGGGCGTGATCAACCACTGCCAACTACAACTCAAGAATTAATTGATATATTGTCAAGTGATTCTGACCCTATGCAAACAAGACCAATGATGATAAATACTTCAGAGACTGAGGAAAATACAGAAGTTGTTCCAGATGAAGTCCAACACTGTTCTATAGATATTCCAACAAATGAAGTAGTTTCTGGACCTACTTTACAACATGAATTAAAATCAGAATCAGACCCAGTACCAGAATCAGGTCCAGCTACAGAACCAGCATTAGGTTCAGGAACAGAAACAGAACCAGAAGCTGAACCAGATCCAGCTCCAGAACCTGATCCTGAAGTAGAGACAGAACAAACTAACCGTATTATTGATAATGACACAGCTACAGCAAAAACCTTAGTTGATCAAGATTGGTTTTCTGGGAGTGATGACAGTGAAGGTGTGAGTGGTAATGCAGAAAATGATATAGCATTACATGTAACTAGTACAGTCACAGAATTACAACCATTAAATACTCCATGTACAACTATTCAGAAGCCTGCTACTAAGAAAGGTAGTATTTTTAAAAGTCGCTCAACAGGTACTACAAATGGAAATAAAAGAAGAGCTTTGTACAAACACAAGTGGTGTGATAGTGATAAAGAATCTAGTACCACAGATACTTCTAATGTTGGAAATAGTACACCTACTACTGCTTCAGGATCTCATAGTGGTACAGATCCTGTAGCTTATGAAGAAGAATTCGATCCTTCACAATTAACAAGAGTTGTAAAGTACCCTGAAGCTGATGCAGATTTTGAAGATGAATCTGATGCTATAACTAGTGTTCGTTGTGGCAAGAAAGTAAAGGGAGTATGTACATTGTATACTTTATGCATTGTAATATATTAATTTATTACAAATTTGATATTGAACAATACTTGACTTTTTAGTTCTATACTGTAGTAAAAAATGTGAAAAAAGCTCATCAAATTCAAGAAAGTGGAGAATTTCAAGAGTTTAATGATGATGTTGAATATATATTAGACACTTTAAGAGAAAACAATCCAAATGCTACTCGCTGCCTTTCAGCTATAAGATTGGCAAGCAAATGTATGGCACCTGCATTTCGTATGCATGTACGTGCTCATGGCACTGTTGCTAAATTCTTCAAAGCTCTTCATGATGCAACAAAAGATCAGGTAATATGTTTTATTTTCATAGAATGTAATATATGTAGATTTTATCAGGTCTAATAATATATGTGAAAATTTAAATGAAACTCTATGTGTTTTGTAGAGTCTTGCTTTATGTACAGCAACAGTAATGTTTGTATTAAGTCAAGATCGTTTAGCTATGGATTTAGATCGTGATTGTTTAGAATTAATGTTAAGTTTGTTAGAATCTGATGCCAGTCACAAAGATGCACTTGATGATTGTGGCCTTAGTCGGGCAGAACTTCTAAAAAATAAAGAAAAAGTACGTCAGTTATGTGCTGATATTCAAGCTCAAGGACATGCAAAACATTTAAATCTTGATAATATAACCGTAAGTATTATTTCTATTCATAATTACCAGGAAAGAAATATAAAAAGTAAATGAACAAATATATCATAAATTAATTCTAGGTTGGTCAACTTGCTATGGAGACACTCCTTAGTCTTACATCCAAACGTGCTGGTGAATGGTTTAAAGAAGAACTTAGAGAATTGGGAGGTTTAGAGCATATTGTAAAGACTATCAGAGATTGTCATCGCCATATTAATACCCAAAATATTACAAAATCTGGCTGGACAGATCCATTATTAGACAAATTGCGTAAAGTTGATAGATGTTTACGTGTATTAGAAAATGTGAGATCTATGTTTTATATAATGATATACATACTTAAAATTTATAATACAGTTTACAATACATTTATTTATCCTTTTTAATTGAAATTCTTTTAGGTTACTCATATGAATGAGGAAAATCAAGTATATTTATTGAAATATGAGAATGGAATTTTAGTCAGCACTTTAGCAAATTTATATCATCTTTGTGGACAAGAAATTCCTATTTATCCTACTATAGACCCAAGTGATAAAACTTCCACTGGTGCTGTTATTAGAGAATGCTTGTTTGCTATTATTAAGGTTCTTATTAACCTTACACATCGATTTAATAGACAATGTAGGACTTTATTATATTTTATCTTCCAAAAAATATTAATAATTTACTTTTACCAATGTATAATACAATGTTTTATAATTATTTCAGCTTTTGGGAGTAAATCACTAGGCCTGCAACCAGGTGTTTTAGATTGCAGTTTGTATCTTTTATTGCGCGTCCCTGAGTCACTTCCTGAAGAGAAACGTTTTGATATGATGATGTTAGCTTTGATTTTATTAATAAATTTAGTAGAACAATGTGATGATAATAAACAGCTGCTTATCGAATCTAAAGCTCCCCCATCAATAGAAAATATTTTTGACGGTAGGTATTTTACAAATTATATTGTTTTCATGAAGATGTGGATCTGATATATTGTATTTATTTCTGTAAAAAAACAGCAGAGGAAAGTGGAGTAGAATGTTTAATCGATCTATTTTATAAACAAGAAGAATTAGCACGTGCCGAAGAACAAAAAACCGATGCTATTTTAGATGGTAAAAAAGATTCTGAACAAACAGAAACTGTATCGACAACAACTAAATCTCAAGAGGAATTCATTGAAGAAACTGTCACAAAATGTTTGTATAATTTTTGTTTAAGATATTATAAATTTTGTAAAATATAATTTTAGAAATTCTTTTTGTAGTATTACAAAAAGCGGGACGTCATATGGAACATACTTTAATAGGAGCATATGTAGTGCTTTTACTTGGTTACTTAATAATGGATAATAAGGTAATAAATTTTTAAGTTTAAAATTACAATGCTAATACTATAGAAGAAAATAATGTAATACATATACTTTTAGGATTATGAATTGTTGGTACGCAGTAGACTTCCAGATAATAATTTTACTACTATGGTGTCTGTACTTCAGAAATTCTTCAATTTCATGAATTTAACGGCATCGGTAATTATTTTTAATTGTTTTATTTATACACATCTATAAAAATTATCAGAAAATTTGGATATATGAATAACTTATTCCTAGAATGAAGTAAGCAGCTGTGGAATTGCTGCTACTGAAAAGGTGATTAAGTTCCTAAAAGTCTCAGATGCCCGCATTGAAGAAGAGAAAAGTGAATTACCATTATCAGCTTTAGAAGATCCAAACATAATGCTCCATTTATCTTCGTCTTGATTGATATCACATTTACACATTTGATATTTTTTATTACCCTGGCATGCAAAAAGAGCCAAAGTTATATGTGTCCAACGAAGGAAATTTTATCTATTGCAGTATAAATGGACCTGTTTCATATTGACCATATATTTTGATATATATTTATTCACTTACGTAATTTATTGCTGTACCTTTCATTAAATTGACTTATTTTCCCAATCACAGTAACAAGTTAGGTATTAAGCATAAGTTAATTAATTACTAGAAACTAATATGATAAAGAACACGCCTTGTAATTACGCATGCAGCTCACTTAAGTTTTTTAATGGCACGTATGTAATATTATTACTTTAGTTGCTTTGCCAAACAATCATTTTTTTAAATTTTGTGACTGACAAGAGGAATGATAATTTGTAAACTTCTTGTCAGAGTATAATTCGTTTGCTGTACAATAATGCATAAATTTTAAATTTTTCCATTATTTTGAAATTTCAATTTATTTTACATTTTAAGTTCTGTTACAAGATTGGCGGTGTTAGGTTTTATTACAACCCATTTAAGATTTGATATAGCATTATTTTGTAAGTTTATTTTAATATTAAAATTATACTATAAGCTTTGTAAATGTAAATTTATAAATTATAATTGTATCTTAAATTCCTAGTTTCCAGTTATTGTATCTCATTACGAGATATAGAACTTCATAAACCTTTAATAACATATTTTGTCTCACAATTTCAAAGGAAAAATAAAAGATACATTATATTGTTATGTGTATGCAATAAACAAGCTTCATAAATTACGAATTTGTAAATAAACCATTTTTTTCATAAAAATCAAATACATTTTATATCAAGAAATATAAGACGTAATTTCAATATGTAAAAAATACATATATTTTTCTTTCATTTAAGGTAAGTCAAAACCAAATTGAAAACATTACATATTTTATTTACATTATTTATTTCAAACGGAATATCTACAAAAATATATAAAAATACACGTAAGATATATGTTAACTTATTAAACAAAATTTCTGAGTTGGAAAAGTTGAAAATTAGACTTAAAAGTAGTAAACATGTTTCTATAAACTGTACATATCTATATGTAACCATGTACATATATATGTATTTATACGCTCATATTAAGTGAGTAATGTTGACATTTTTTTAAAATGAAATTTTAGAAACAATTTATCAAAAAGTTATATTTTATTAGAAAATATATATGTTAAGTTTACTGTTAACAAACATATTATTCGCAAAATCAGGAATGACTTTATTTAAGATCAATCCGTAACATGGTAATTTAGAATTTGACTAATTTGTGCTATAGATTTAATAGCAAATTAATTCTTATAGCAAAATAGAATAAAATAGTGTATATATATAAGTAATATATGTATATAATAACGTAACGAAATGTTAGCTACGTTCTTTCTTTCGAAGTAAGTATTCATTTATATAATTTTAATAACCTTATTAACCTATCTATCAGTTCTATATGAACTACATGATAATTCAAATAAATAATATTACATAATCCCATAATTATTAACTTCTAGGAGTACTAAAACTCAAATTATATTGCCATTTCAAAGGTTAAATATTACGTTTAATGTAATAAGAACTAATTTGTCATCATCATCATCTGATTCTTCTTCTTCTGATTCTGATTCGGATTTGGATGCTGAAATTTCTAATGGAATTAGAGATGTAAATATTTCGTTACCTTTAATATAAAACTTATTTCTTTTAATATGTGTGTCTATGTTTATAATTTTTATTTCATGTTCCTTTTCTCTGAAGAAATTAAGAGGTACAGACTACTTACAAAGTGCAAAAGCAGCACGAAAAAGAAGACAAATAGGTAAGAAATTATAATTTATTTTAAGATAGATGCATAATAAGACAAGAAATTTCTCGTCATAGAGCATGAGTTAACCAAAGCAGCCCAAATTTTAACTACAGCATCAGACCAAGATAAAGGAAAAATTCTTTCAGTTTTGTTAGATACTATCAATAAAATTCAGACTATAGATAATACATCCAGTAAAAGGTTTAAGTATAATTTTTTTGCTTAAATTATATTTTTGTTCTAATAAATGATTCTAATAAATTATATAAATATATAATATTGATGTTATTTGTAGTAAAGAAGCTAAAGATAAGACAAGGACTATTAATAATGAATCTAAAGAACGACAAAAATTATCTACAATTCGTAAGCTACAAAGTCAGCAAAAGGAAGTAAGGCATGTTAGTGATAGGTTTGAAAGAAAATATGAAACACAAAAGCGACCATCAATAATTGGAATGCTTAAAAGCCAGTCAAGTATGAGAAAGGATATTGATGATAAGTTTGAAATGAAATATGAAAGACGAATGGAACCATCTATCATTCATAAGCTTCAAAGTCAGCAAAAGGAAGTAAAGGATGTTAGTGATAAGTTTGAAAGAAAATATGAAACACAAAAGGAACCATCAATAATTGAAATGCTTAAAAGCCAGTCAAGTATGAGAAAGGATATTGATGATAAGTTTGAAATGAAATATGAAAGACGAATGGAACCATCTATCATTCATAAGCTTCAAAGTCAGCAAAAGGAAGTAAAGGATGTTAGTGATAAGTTTGAAAGAAAATATGAAACACGAAAGGAACCATCAATAATTGAAATGCTTAAAAGCCAGTCAAGTATGAGAAAGGATATTGATGATAAGTTTAAAAAGGAATATGAAAGACGAATGGAACCGTCTGTCATTCATAAGCTACAAAGTCAGCAAAAGGAAGTAAGGGATGCTAGTGATAAGTTTGAAAGAAAATATGAAACACAAAAGGAACCATCAATAATTGAAATGCTTAAAAGCCAGTCAAGTATGAGAAAGGATATTGATGATAAGTTTAAAAAGGAATATGAAAGACGAATGGAACCGTCTGTCATTCATAAGCTACAAAGTCAGCAAAAGGAAGTAAGGGATGCTAGTGATAAGTTTGAAAGAAAATATGAAACACAAAAGGAACCATCAATAATTGAAATGCTTAAAAGCCAGTCAAGTATGAGAAAGGATATTGATGATAAGTTTAAAAAGGAATATGAAAGACGAATGGAACCGTCTGTCATTCATAAGCTACAAAGTCAGCAAAAGGAAGTAAGGGATGCTAGTGATAAGTTTGAAAGAAAATATGAAACACAAAAGGAACCATCAATAATTGAAATGCTTAAAAGCCAGTCAAGTATGAGAAAGGATATTGATGATAAGTTTAAAAAGGAATATGAAAGACGAATGGAACCGTCTGTCATTCATAAGCTACAAAGTCAGCAAAAGGAAGTAAGGGGTGCTAGTGATAAGTTTGAAAGAAAATATGAAACACAAAAGGAACCATCAATAATTGAAATGCCAAAATATGAAACTCTGAGAAAATCATCTATAGTTGCAAAACTAATGAGCCAGCAAAAGGGATCCAGTATCATTGATGATAATGAGAGGTTGCATATTTTATTAATTAAATCTAAAAATTTATGGCTTAATCCATTAAAAATTTTTTTTATAGAGATAATATAGTTTATGAAAGAATCTTCGACGATTTTCCGGAAAATACCGATGTTCCTAAACTTAAAATGTGGGACACTTGGGAAAGGGAACAATTGCAATTTTTAACATCTAAATACCCTACAAATGCATTTCAAGAAATGATTCAATGGTCTAAAGAAGGAAAACTATGGAAATTTCCTATAGATAATGAACAAGGTATGAGTAAAAAAATTAGACTGTGTTATTTTATATATAACTTATAAATATGATTCTTTATATGATATATAGGGATGGAAAAGGAGCAAAATGTGCATTTCTCAAAGCATGTATTCTTAGAACGTGAGTTGATACCATGGTGTCCTCCTAAGGGTCCAATACGACATTTTATGGAATTGGTATGTGTTGGACTTTCAAAGAACCCATATATGACAATTGAAGAAAAGTATAATCATATAATGTGGTATAAAAATTATTTTAACGATAAACATGATTTATTAGAAAAATTAGGAATTTTAGGATAGAACTAGTACAAAAAACTGGCAGAAGAAAAAAAATTGAAATGTATTAACTGTTTTTTAAAAATAAAAATGAAATAAAATGATACACATAATTATGTAGTTGTTATTTGTTAAAAATATCTTATTTTATGTGCATTTCACTGTCTTCATATTTTATTTAATGTTTTATAACGGAACGTTATTAAATGTTTATGAAACACTATATGTTTATAAACATTACTAGTTAAATAAATCCTACGAAAGTATTGATATTTCAAATTCAAATAAATGAAATAGTTAAATTAGATTTAAACATTTGAAATAAATTAATTTATGAAAAAAAGTATATCAATGCACTTTCTTATAAATTTATAAGGAAATCTTCAATAGTTTGTACTTTCAGCTAAAGTTGAGATCGATTGGGTCAAATCACTCAAGGGACTCACTTAAGACCGGTCCAAATCCACGATCTAGTTTTACTTTATAGGCTTATAGGTTACATTGGTTTTAAAATTCTTGAGAAAAATGATCGAAGCAGAAAATATTGAAGATCAAAGTGGGCTACGTCCAGATGGTAGGCGAGCATTAGAATTAAGGCAGATTCGTGTAAAAATGGGTGTTTTTGGTCAAGCCGATGGAAGTGCTTATATCGAACAGGGTAACACTAAAATTTTGGTTACAGTATATGGGCCTCATCAGGTTAACAACTTATCGTACGTTATAATTTTTATATTAATACATTGAACCATATACGATTAATGTTATGTTTATTTAGCCAAGAGGTTCTACAGGAAGAAATACAACTAAAGGCATAGTGAATTGTCAATATAGCATGGCGGTATTTAGTTTATCTTCTGGAGAACGTAAACGCAAACCAAGAGGAGATAGAAAGTCGCAAGAAAGATCTCTTCAATTAAAACATGCAATGGAAGCCATAATACATTTAGAAATATATCCTCGCTCACAGATAGATATTTATGTAGAAGCATTACAAGTTGATGGAAGTGAATATTGTGCATCTGTAAATGCAGCTACACTTGCTTTAATTGATGCTGGAATTCCTATCAAGGTAATATATAAAATGAAACAAATGTCCTGTAACTTTCATTGGAAAAAGTACCTTTACCATTAAATTTATTATTGTTTTCTTTTTTGTAGAATTATGCTATAGGTTGCACTGTAACATTAATTAATAATCCATCTTCGGAAGATGAAGATAATACATTAGGGAGAGGAGTACTAGATGCAAATTATCTAGAAGAATGTGCTCCTGGTGTTACTTTGTCTGTTGTTGCATTACCAAATAGTGATAGTAAATCAAAAGATGGTTTGATAGTAGTAGCGCAAGGAGCAGGCCAAAGGTTGCATTTGTCTCAATTTGAGTCTTTAAAAGCTCGTGTATTATATGGATGTCAAGATATAAAAACTATTTTAGATCATGCAGTTAGACAATATCTAACAGAACAATCACTTCCTTCTCTTTTTCATGTTGCATTAAATTAGATATATTAACAAAAAATTGTACGCAAAAAATGTCAAATAATATACAATTTTTTTCATAAAAATCACATACAAAATTTTTTTTTAATATATTTATCTTATAAAGAATATATATATTTTATCATACACTATAATTGTACACAATCTTTTTTCTTTAAAATAATATCCACATTTCTTTTAGAATATTTATATTCGTTCGTTTTCCCCTTTTTGCATCTCAAACCTTAGCACCAGGGTACCTTTCCATAATCATGCCAACACCCTATAATTTATATAGTTATTAAAATAAATCTATTTAATATAAATATAAGATAATAATAATTGTGAATTACTTTTTATACGTCTTTTACCTGTCCTCCAGCTGCACAAGCTGCAATTATTCCAAATTGTTGATCTTCTTTGATAAGTCGGTTCGCGGTATGTGTAGCTAACCGAACTCCAGTTGCTGCAAATGGATGACCAATTGATAAAGATCCACCCCATGCGTTCCATTGATTAAGATCTGGTACTCCTACTTTTGAAGATCTTCCTAAGTAATTTTGTGCAAACCAATCAGAATCTAATGCTTTTAAATTAGCTAAAATTTGTCCTGCAAAAGCTTCATGTATTTCCCACACTCCAACGTCTTTAACATTTAATTTTGCTTTTTGGAGTATCTACAATTTATTTGAAACATTATGTGTTAAAATTCTAAACATGCACATTTAACGACAATAAAGTATTACTTGTGGTATAACATAGGTTGGTCCTAAGAGCAATTGATCAACAGGATCCTGGGAAACATAAGTGAAATTTCTTAAATATGCTTTTGGAGTAAGACCAAGTTGAAGAGCTTTTTCTTCTGTCATTATCAAAGCTGCTGATGCTCCATCAGTTAAAAAAGATGCATTAGCAGCAGTAACTCCTCCATATGGTTTAACAAATGCTGGTTTTAATTTTTCTAATTGTTCAGGTGTTGAAACGCGAATACCATTGTCTTTATTTACTACCTCACTTACATTTGGAACTAGAAAAGGTACCCAGATCAATTAACATATTTTATTTATTTCGTTTATTTTAATATTACCTTTATAGGGAACTACATCTGTGAGGTGTCCTTGTTGTTGTGCTTTAGCAGCCAAAGTATGTGAACGCAAAGCATATTCATCCTGTTCTTTCCTTGAAATTCCAAATGCAGCTGCTAATCTATCACCACTATGTCCCATAGTTTCATTACTAGAAAATTCAGCTACTGCAGGTAACTACGATTATATAAGTACAGTTAAATATAATATATAAGTAGATATAATTAAAGTATAATTTTGTTATAAAAGGTAATATACATCTGGTACAAAATATGATGGTCTAATACTAGTAAGAAGTTGTAACTTTTGCCCAATTGATTTTGCCTTATTAGCTTGTAACATCAATGATCTCATACGTCTACTATGTCTAATTGGTATATCTGACATGAATTCCACTCCACCTGCAACGATCACTTCATACACACCACATGCAATCAAACCCATACCAGTTGTAAGAGCTTGATTACTACTGATGCATGCCATTGTTACAGTATGTGCAGGAGTACGATCACTGTATCCTGCTGCTAAAGCTGCTTCTCTCGCAATATTTGAAGTTCTTATTTCTTGCATTACTGTACCATAAACAATGTATTCAACAATTTCTCTAGGAAATTTAATTTTGTTTTGCAAGGCCCTTGTAATAAAATATGATATATTATTATAATTGAATTAGCATAAAAATTAGTGTTTAGGTTAACTTACACTAATGATTGTCTGGCAAGATCATATGCCATCAAGTTTTTATAACTTGTTCCAGATTGCAAAAATGGTGTTCTTACACCATCAATATATACAATGTTTTTAGCAGCATGATTGCTTTTAGTTGCATAAAACTTATTTGTTTTTAAATAATTTACTGCAGAACCTAAAGTACAAATAAATTACACATTCATAACATATTTAATAAGTATATTTTGCACTTGGAAATAATTGTATCTACTTTATTATGCTATAAATATAATAAGTGTGTTATAAAATTAGGAATCTTAAATAAATTTATTGACTGACTATATATTAGTAAAAAATCATTACACTGTATAAATAGCATCAGTGCTCATAAAAAGTTATTAAATCATTTTTATTTTAAAGTTTCCGATTTTGTACTTTGTACTTAAATAATTAAGAATCATTACTTGCGAATCATGTACTTGCATTGTTTTTATTGTTCTACAATGATTCATAGCATAAAGTAATTTAACATACCATATTTAGGAAATCCTCTCTTCATTAAAGAACTATTTTTTGCGAGAGAATGCATATTCAAAATTACTTTAAATTTAGCAGTTTTTAAAAATTTCGCTTCTTTTTATATATGTTACTATTCCTTTTTACTGGTTACTTATGTACTACCATTTCTTCTCTGGTACCAGTAAATGTTGAACATGACATGGACTTTGATCTTTATTTCAGTCTTATTCTCAAAAAATTTTACTTGTGAACTTACCATTGCTCAACCATAATTGAATGTCCCTATTAGACTATCTTGATATAGAAGTGCGGGAAAACTGACAGATTTTCCCGCTTACAATTTAAGTATTTACACTATTTTGTGTAATAAATATTAATTTCATGCAGTTTCAGAATGAATTTAGTGCATTCTATTGTAGAACGAGAAAAAGGATCTGGTAATTTGCATTTTATGATCGTATATAGTAAAAGATTTTGAAATATATTGCGAATATAAAAATGATAGGTTATACGTGACCCAACATAATGTTGTATTTAATCTAATGATTGTGCATGATATTCATTTTTTAAGATAAAACGTGAATTTTAAAGAAACAAACATTTTTTCAGTATCAATACACGATTATGATGTTGCTTTGTATCGTTTGAAATGTTATAAAGATGATGTGTATAAAGGCATAACACCAAATACAGATGCACTGGATTTTAATCCAGAACCACCAGTTTTTGCATGCCGATTTTGTACTACAAAAGGATACGAACAAATAATTGCTTTAGCTAATGAAGATGGAAAGATTGCATTACAAGATACAGATATCAAAAGTATGTCAAATCAACCATTGGAAGGAACACAGGTAAGGTTATTATATTGTATTGAGTCTTTAATCTTTTACCTATAAAATCAAGTTACCATAAAGTATATTATTAAGAGTCTATAAGAAAAATATACTTAATTGATATCTTTCAGGCACATCGTAATGCAATATTTGATGTTGCTTGGATGCCAGGAGAATTAAAACTAGTTACAGCATCTGGAGATCATACTGCTAGACTTTGGGATGTATCTGGTTCTGAAATAAGACAAATTGATTGTTTCCATGCTCATATTAGAAGTGTTAAGACTGCAGTGTTTCGTTATCAGGATCAAGGTATCTCTTTAATACTTAATATGCTTTGACATACATATTGCACAAAACAAAATATTAATTAAAAAAATGTTTTAGCTGTATTTGCAACTGGAGCTAGAGATGGCTCTATCATGATATGGGATATTAGAGCTAATCATTATGAACGACCTAAACCAGATAATTGTATTATTAATGCACATAATGTTGGAAATATAAGTAATGTACGACAGCGTAGGG